GTTGATTAAATTAGGTACCGGATAAAACATTGCATTAAATAGTTTTAATTGTAAAAATTGCTGCAAGTTTTTTGTTATGTTAGGTGCAAGTAATAGGGGCGGATAAAGCAAATATTGGTTAAGTATTGCTTGCTGTGATGTTAAATTGCGATGACAATTAACATTTTTGTTGCAATCACTTGCTACTCGGACCAATTTGCGAGGGTCCTAAAAATACAACAAAATAAACTGATCAAACAAAGACTCAAAACGATATAAAAGTCACCTTGCATTAATTAAAATTAACGCGTTACACTGTTTCATCAAATCGTAAAATTCTTAGCTAGCATAAGTCACGAGCTTAAAAAATTTGGATCACGCGTTACACTATCTCATCATATCATAAAATTCTTAGCTAGCACGGTCAAGAGCTAAAAAATTTGGATGTCGTCTTGTACAATCCTAGGATTCAAATCAATTGTAGTTGTCTGTGAACGCGTACACTCTAAAACACAAACCAGGCTCTCAAAAAAACAGTTTATGGAAAGGAACCAAGTAAAAAGGTTTTACTTTGGTATTGAGCCCAAGTATATCAGCTTTATTACCAGTTCTCTGTGTTTATTATAACTCTTATATATTTAGTTTTAATCTAAAATACCTTTCTTGTTCTTTTGATCAAATTAATAATAAAGGTATTTGAGAAAAAAAAATCACTTATTTAGAAATAATATATATATAAGTGTATGTAAGTTACAATAGCATATTCCGAGTTTCTCACAATAGATATAGAAAGCAATTCTTTGTATAAGAACAAGAAAAAAGGTTGGGACAAAGTGAAGAATATGATTTTACCAAGATGGGACAAAGACAAGGATTAAAACAAATACATTATATACAAAGAATTGCTATATGATTTTACCAAGATGGGACAAAGACAAGGATTAAAACAAATACATTATATACATCACTTCTATGCTGCAAACATGAATGCCAAGCTTCATTCAATCTTTCATGTGCTTTAAATGGCTTAATTGTGTTGGACACTGATTCCTAGGATGCTAGTTATCTCCTTGCAAAGCATCAGATATATTGGATATATATACCAAAATCTTGCTTCAATTTGACTGAGAAGTGCAGTTATCTCAAATACCTTTGTGAATTTTCTTTCCAAACTGGGTACTTCTTGTAGATTGAATAGTCTGGTCACCGAATAAAAAGTTGGTGGGCAGAGGAATAGTCCTCATCGACATTTTATCACACAATTTTTTTAACATGAATAATATGTAGGCTCTATTTTATAGAAAGTCTGTTAAGATGGTGTGCTTTTGATTCATTATGTTACAATTTTCTTATTCATTCATACTTTGATTGAGTTTTATAATTATTTCATTTGTAACATTAACAAATCACTTAGCGCTAGATAGAATGTTAGTGTTCATATGCCAAACTTCAAATTCATTTTCAGAGACATTTCATGATACATGTAACTGCAACAGGACAAAGGCAAGTCAGCAAGCTACTTCCAAGAGTTTTGCAAATAAGTTGGCAGCAACTTTTAAGGACTACAACAGCAAAAGCCTATAGAACATTGAGCAGACCAAACCAAATCATTAAGATTCTGAAAGAGATTGGTTAGGAAAAGCTTTGGAACTATCTAGAAGCATTAGTGTATGGTAACAGTGTACAACAATTACAATAGAGATCCCTTAGAGCTGGTGTTTGTTAGATTATACCTTTGCTTGGAAGAATGCAAAGTTAGGCTAAGGGCAGGGTGAAGACCAATGTTTGAATTAGATGGATATTTACTAGAATATTATGGCAGCCACGCTGCTAACTTACATGGTGCAATATGGTGATAATGGTTTCAATACTATAGAATTTGTTGTTGTTGATGTAGAGACCATGATGTGTGGACACTGTTGCCTTCTTTCTTGCCAAAAGATATTGATTCGGTGGAAGATGATGGGTGTAAAATTGTAGATTTTCAGTACTATTACCAACATTTGTTGTCAAGCCAAATTGGAGAAACTGTGACAACCAATTCAAAGACAAGTTGTGCTGTTGGCATGTGCCAGCTAAAGAATCGTAGATCAATTTTGGATGGACATGATTCTATGGAATGACAACTTAAAAAAGTGCTGCCATAGCTGTCAAAACTCAAACTTGATTCTAGGATGAGAGCAACTTTCGAAACTTGTGCAATTGATGTTAACAGCATGTGTTCATGTAATTAAATTAATTAATTATTCAATAAATTTTAGAGTGCGCTGAGATAACTTATTTAAATATTTATTTAATAAACTTTTTTAAAACTTTATAAGTTTAACTATAAAACTAATTAAAATAAATAAATAAAACTTACTCTGAAAAGTTGGGTATATTTTTTTGATAAACAAATTCAAAAAAACTTATTGAAATAATCTAAAACAGTTTATTAAAGTTATAAACTATTTATAAGTTTTTCAAATAGACCCTTAATCATATAAAAATTTATACTAAAAATTTGATTATGAAATTTGTTCAAACAAACTAGTTATAAGTTTTATATTCATAATTTCTTGTAAACTCTTCCAAATATTTCTCTTGATGCACAAGGCAAAATCTGTAATCACTTTTATAGTGAAAATTAGGGGCTGTATCATGAAGAAAATGCCAAGGCAAAGAAGAAAAGAAAGACAAGTGTGTCTCATACGCCCCAATGGAAAGACCAAAGTTTAAAAGATAAAATAGGATAATTTGTCAAGTATACCAAGCAAAGGTAAGTAAACGTATGAAGGAAAAAAATGTTCTACTAAAACTTTGTGTGTCTTGGAATTGCCCTACATCGTCTTTCTCCTGTAATTCATAGTCATACCAATTAATAGATGATGTGGACCACAAATAGGATAATATCCGAATAAAACATAGAGTTGTCCCAAATCAGCAATACTGTGACCACAGTTAACAGTCGGGAACCAAAATTCAAAATCCTAAAAGCTATTAGCTAATTGATTGATTAGGTGAGGGACCATCACTACAATAAGACACAATTTGAACCTGAAAAATGAGGCCAATCATCAAAGCAATACTCGTTCAATAAATGGCAAGCATGGTAAATAATCTTTCAAATTCTCATTACGAAAGAGATAACATTTGGGCATGGGCATGATTTCTAGGAAACAAATGTGTACCAATTTACGTACCACGAAACAACTTGTTATTGGATATTCAGCCTTTTCTATGATACGTATCTAATGTCATTTAAATATCTTTGCATTGGCCCAGTGAATTAGTTGAGGTATACTCGTATCATTGCAACCCTTATTCTTCGTTCTTTTTGCTTGTTGGGATCATTAAAGGAAACCAAAATTATTATATCCTCCTCATTTTCTTTGTATATCTCATCGTCACCATATATAGATATAATCTCGTCAGTTTTATTAAAATAAATAAATACACAATTAGTCAATTTTTAGACCATTTGTTACAACAATCTACAAAATCAAACTATATACAAAGAACAAATTTATTATGACAAATAGGGGACATGGTTTCTGCTGCTATGTTTCTACAATCTACAGATACATTAAAAATTGGTGAAAGGGAATAGCGATGGTAGGGTACATTCCGTTGTTCGTAAGATATGGGCCATGGTTGAACCAGCCCAATAATATTCTGCTCTGAACCCATTATGAAAGACCCTGTTGGACCAAAAAAAGAGAGAAATGACCCTGTTCCTGGATCCAAAAAAAAAGTGAGCCTGTACTGGTTTTTGGTTTGCTTGTTCATTCTTCGTTGACCAAAAATAAATGGTTCATTCTTGTTCTTCACTTTCACTGCACCTCCATTTCTACTCCCATTTCCGTGTGACCCCTTCATTCCAAATTTCCATTATCATTGGTCGTTATCTTGTTGGGTGACGAAAAACACTCAAAATTTCAACGATGGCTGCAACCGTGCTTCGTATCTCCTTTGACCCATATTTGTGCTTCTTTTTATTTCCATCACCACCAGTTTTTGGTCATGGGTTTGATAAAAGCTTCCAATTTTAAGTTAATAAACTTATTAAACTAAGTCAGAATTCTTGCTTCATGTGTGGAGGAGTTATTATGGTCATGATTGTATTTGTGAAACTTAAGATTTCTTAAATTTCGAATGATATTTTGCTTTTAGGAATGTTAAGTTAACAATGCCTAATTCTGTACGAAGTTGCTTTTGTAAAATCACTGGCGAACACCATTAGTAGATCACAATTACCAAATAATGTTATTCAAATATCAAAGTTCAACACCTAAAAAAAGAGACACAGCACCTTTTTTCTTCTTTTATCTGGGTAGAAAATATGTTTACATGTATAAATAAATATATACATACATACATGTGTGTCAGGATCATTTACTACCAAGAGTAAGTCCAACATTTTATATATCGTTAGTATAATATATTTAACAAAAAAATTTGACTGCATTAATAGCCATGTGAAAATAAAAAATATTAAACAATGTGAGAGCACATAATTAAATATAAGTATATATTTTTTATACTAAAATTACATTAAATTCCAACCCCTACACCCTAACATTTTTATTTTTTTTTTGTGAGTAACATATAGAGTTTGAATTTAGTTAAATTTTGTGAGTACTATTTTATTTTATATACGTTAAAGCTCGGAGTACTTTGTTCCGCAGCTCTTACGAGAGTGGGAAGGGCAATTATAAGTGTAGCCACCCTCGTCCGTATATACATATTCGTTAGCATGCTTTAACATTTAATGCCACTTGGATCAAAAAGAACATTGAATGCCACAAAAGCTTACAGGGACGAATATGCACGACTTCAAAAGCACGTGGAATCCTAAACTTTTGGCATCCTTATTACACATTCCTTAATCATCATTGTTCTTTCCTCTCTTTGGAGAAAAAGAAGACTTTTGGGTCATCCCACGAAACATTCCTTGCTTGCTTCATTTATCCTCCTACTATACACTTACTATATACATATCTAACCTTGCAACAACTTGCATGCATCCATAATACAACTCAGATTCCTTCATCCCTCGCTCCAAATTTTCCTATAAGTTGAATCTGCCCACCAAGAAAGATCTGAATTAATATCTCAGTTTCTTCGTCATGGGTGTCCTTGGAACAATGGCAAGACATTTCGACACGATAATAGGGTAAATAAATCTCTCTGTGCTTTTAAACAGATGTTTCTGCATTTATTTTCTTTAGGTGTCGGATATATTATTCTCATTCTACTCCTACACATGCACTGCGGTGATTATGTGCTCAACAAAAAATACTTTTCATGCAACACCTGCATGCGAATCAACATTTACAAAATTATATTTCACCAAACTATAGGTTTTAATTTTATGAATATATTTCCCTGTAATAACAGTATGCTTTTTGTTTTCTGTATACCAGGCCTGGAGTAATGCTTCTTTATCCTCTGTAAGTATATGCCATATCATGAAATCATGCGTCATTTTCAGTTCCTTATTGCTGTAATTCTTAATTAACTAACAATTATTAAGAAAGAAAGCATCTCTAAGCACAGGCATGCACGTTATCTGACATATTACATGATCATATGACTAATCATTAAATGCTTGATTTCCGAGTAAATATCATAGATACGCATCAATGAGGGCAATTGAAAGTCCTTCAACCTTAGATGATCAACAGTGGCTAACGTATTGGATTTTATACTCCTTCATTACCCTCTTTGAGCTTTCCACTTATAAGATCCTATCTTGGTACGTTCACTTTTATTACTTATATACCAATCTCTCTTTCTCTCTCTAGCTATATACTGATACATGCACAAAAATTTGACATTTTTTTCTTTCTTGTAATAAAAATATATATTATACAGGTTTCCCATTTGGCCATACCTGAAGCTTGTGTTTTGCGCCTGGCTAGTACTTCCAATGTTCAATGGAGCTGCTTACATATATGAGAATTTTGTGAGGCAATACATAAAAAATATCGGAAGCTATGGAGGTTCCAATTATCCTGATGAGTACAAGAAGGTCCTTCACATGATGTCCTTCGATGCAAGGAAAGCAGTTGAACGTTATATCGATAGATTTGGCACTGATGCCTTTGATAGAGTAATCAAAGCGGTATGATATTTACAAAGCGACTATGATCCAAAGATATATTACTTCATTATATCGTTCATCTATCCGTGTTTTAAACATTCTTTTATTTTTAAAATATGTGCAGGCTGAAAAAGAAGCAAAGAAGCATTAAGTGAGTATCGATTTGACAAAGTTGGAATGAAAAGAATGTAAATATTGTTGAAATCCATACTTCTTTCCGTGTATATTTTAGCATGAAAAAGACGGAGTTTCAGAATTATAGTTTAATTAAATGACAGCTATTATGAACTTGATATGAGTTTTCTCTTTACCTTCCGTATGGTTTAAGAATGTAAGGGCTTCCATTCTAGTTGATTGATTTGATATATAGGTATTTCCTGATATAGTTAGAGAATAAAAAATTGTAAGGTCAAATTATCTGAGTTTTACTTTAAACCCTTCAACGAGAATTCAACGAAATCCTATAGAATTGCTCTAAGTTCTAATAAATAACCTAGAAACTCATATATAATCGGGACGAGTGCAGCAACAGTAACAAGCATACAAGGTAGATCACGAGCAAGTTTGACGATCGCATAAACCATAATGCTTTGAACAGCGACTTAATTGATTAATTGGGTGAACTCATTTACAGATAAGCAACGTAAGAATCACTTCAGTGATTACGTATAAAGTAACGTAAGGGATAACCCGATCTTGTTATTAAACAAGACAAGCTCAACCTTTTTCCTTCCATGCTTTGAGGGACATTATATAAATAATAACTTATTCTGCGTTGAATGAATGTTTTTAACCGATGATAAATATCAGGCATAAAATAAGAATCAAAACAAAATAATGCACAAGTATGGTGAATTAGCCTAGATTCTTCCTATCTGTATGTGTAGCACTCAAACGTAACTCAATCCCTCCTTATTTTGACATTGAACTCTTGGTTCTTATCATCACTTCCAGCTCTTAAATACATTAGTTAATCGAAAGTACAAGAAAATTAGGCCGAGACAATACTTGGAGAAGTATATAGCTAGAATGAAACTGAATGATCCAAGGGACAACAAATCAGACAAGAGGATCAACTGCAGTACTTTGCCTACTAACTTTTATGTTGCATTTTGATAAAAATTTGTGCTTATTTCCGGTTGCATTAATAATTTAATAAGCGCTAGTTTACCGGCAAACTGACACGTCATTAGTTCATTTTCAATCCAATGAATATGAAATCCGTTTGAATTCAAGTAAATTCATTTACCGATGTAATGTCTCATTTGTAATTGAACTTAGAATGAAGTAATGAAATTGATTTGTTTTAATTTATTTAAAACAATTACAAACACTTAATTCAGTTTAAATCCTCTCACAGCATAAAACGGGAAAGCAAACTAAAACTATGTACTTATTCATCAAATGCGAGTTCACTGGGTAACTTGTTTCATATCCATATATTAAAATAAATCATAAAAGTTTTCAAATAAAAAATATTTTCTTAAAAATAATCAAAACCAAGATGGCAGAAATACTTTTCATAAATATATTTTTGCCTGTTCAAATTAATTTTGAAGCATTCAGTGTTTAATTAATGAATAACTAAATTCAAATTTTATTGATTTTTTCTTCTCATCAAATTTTATTGAACAGGTTTAGCAATATTTATGAGATATGAACTATTCCCGTATTCTAAAGCCCGTCATCTTCCTTTTCTTTTCTGCTATATTGAACAAAAAAAAGGGCAAAAAACAAAAGAGCTCATCTTTTCGTAATCATTGTACGAGTGCCGTGTGGGGAATACCTGAATCAAAAATAGATATCCAAAACGTCATCTTTGGGGATAAAATTCTGTAAAGGGCTTAAAACTTCAAAACTGAGAGCTGGATGTATCAAAAGACTGGATGGAATTATATCAAATTTCCACCGGTTTCAGCGACCTGGCAATATTGATACATGGACAATCCTGTTATGTTGTCTAATGGATATATACTATGGAGGAAAAACAGATATGAAATGATATGACTTACACCTAAAATCAGTATACTTTTGTCATTTCTTTTCTGAATTTCTAGATCAACTATCACTGTCAGTTGTCGCAAATGAGAATGTGGCAGAATAGTTTGTCATCCTGATCCACATTTTAAGAGGACTTTAGGATGTGCTTAGCTCTTTTAGGACCAAGTCGGAGAGGACCTGATGTTACCATGCCGTCCAGTTTAAAAGAATCAAGGGCAGGATAACTTCTAGGATTTAGATTTTGTGCCTCATTTTGACAACATCTACTCCTAGTACTGTCCATTTGTGGATCGAGTTCGACCGCTCTCGTGTTTCGATGCAATTCTAAGCTCGACTTTTCACTAGTAAACCTAGTCACACGACTCAAGTTTTCTTGCACTTCTATATTCGGTAACTTCATAGGTTTTCTGGAATCATCAAGATTAGCTGCGGATCTCTTCCTGCTATTTGTGCACGGATGATAGTCTTTGGTGATCATATCATCCAACTTCACTCTGTCAGCGACCTTATTTATGTTTCTATTACCACTATTTATGGTAGAGGGTGTAACTGGAATATATGGATGTTGAACAATTGATGCTGGAGAAAGAGGAGTCGTCTTCATGGGACCCAGAGAAGTCAGAGGATTAGAAGAAAAGCAAACTTCTGTTGAATGATTCACAGATGGCGTAGTAAAATTATTTCCCCAAATATTTTGAGGAAAACTTCGATTACTTTCGCCAGAAATTTGCTGAGAAAAGGTCCTTGGAAGCATTTCATCTGTTGAGCTTGACAACCACGATGGTAAATTTCTGTAGGGCCTCTGAAACCAAGATGTTTTGGCCTGTTCATTTACAGCTGGCTGCAAGAAAGGAAATCCGAAGACTGATTTTGTGACATGGGGATTTTGGTTCCTGTCATTCATTTCACCATTGCTTAAACGTGTCAAGTTACTAAAACTGCCAGGAGTAGGTAGCGCCAGTGATTGAGAGCTCAGTCCTACAGGTTTAGCTCCAGGTATAAACTGCTCTCGAAAGTCATCAGATGCCCCATCAAATACTGCATATGAAGTAGATTTTTGAGCAATGGGATTGAAATAAGAACTGTCGTTTCTGTCAACATCAAGACTTCCATTTTGAGATACATGATTACTTTGCAGATCCATAAACTGTTTAGGAAATCCAGAGTCTGTACCACTCATCCATAAGGTGCTTTGCAAGGCCTGATTGCTCTGAATTTTTGCTGATTGCAATACATTGCCAGTTGATATCTGTAAAGGTGAACCAGATACCGAATCCTGCTTAGAGTTTCTTCCCAATAAAGAGGGTTCAAAAGCAGCATATTCAGAATAATTCTTTCTTCTGGATTCTTCCTCACTCCAAACATCTCCCGCAAATTGTTGCATCTCTTGGCTGCTTCTACCAATTGGAACATCTTTACCCATCAACCTCACTGTTGGTTGGCTGGAGCTTAGTGAGACATGATCTTTCAGATAAATCATCCCATTTCCATTGTGGTTCCGCACCTGTTCACGTTGAGTCTGTTCAGTGAACGAATTTTTCTTAAGGTTCAACTCTGAGTTAAGTGGCGGGACATAATGACTGGAACACATATCAATATTCGGTCGGCAGATATCTTCTCTCTCTCTACATTGTATCTCGGTGACAGCTAATCTGGTTGGATGATGTGGAAATGGATTGAGACCATCGTTGGGTAATTGCTTCTGAACAGCATGCCTCTCATTAAAGGTTAAGTTTTGCTGGTTACTTTGATGGAGAATATTATTAAAAGACAAGCCACTTAAAGAACCTGGTAATGCACTTGATGTCTCTGCCTGTTTCATCCCTACTTCTTCATTTGAACTGAAGTTGATTAGTTCACCATGAGAATTGAGTGGCAAACCAAAAAAATTCGGATCCAGACAGCTATTTCTTACGCTTCCTTTTGCCCAGCGTGTAAAGGGGAATGAGCTGTCAATCATGTCTGCAGATAACAAATGAGTCAACTGTCTGTCCTCGCCACTGTCATCATTATCTCCATAGCTTTGCAATGGAGATTCTGGTTTTTCATTTCCTTTATTATATGAAGCAGAATAGGACGATGAAGGCTCCAGAAATGTCTTTGTATCTTCATTCGAGTTCACAGCATCAACCTGAAAAGTTGGATTATCCAAATGATCTAACTTTCCACTGTAGCTGAAAGATGCAGATTCACACGCTCGTGTATTTATACCAGACATCTGCTGTTCTTGAACCGCTGAAAGAGGTCTAGAAATGTCAGCAAATGGAGAACAATGCAGTGTGGTTGTGTTGCTTCCATCACAAACCTGTGAACTATTATTGTCACAAACTGCCACCTTGGCCAACAATTCAGACTTTTCTTCCAAGTTCTTTGACTTCTCTTGATTGGTACATGGTTTCGAGAAACTTTGTACAGTAACTTGTTCCAAAGAGATAGAAAAATGTTTACTTTCAACTATAGGGGAAACCTCCTCTCTCTTGTCTCTGTCTATATTCACAGCAATATGGTCATAATTTCTGTTTGTCTCCAAACTTGCAGTTTCTTCATCACTTCCAGAGGACTTCTCCTTTAGTAGTGAAATAGCCATCGCACCTGAAGACATGTTGAACATTGCTTCGTCAAATGAATTTCTCCTTTTTGGACCAAGTATATTATTGTCTTTACCAGAGAATTTCACATGTCTGTCCAAGGTTGGCACTTGATCATTGTAATGACTTTCTTCCGTACCATCTCGAATACTACAGCCACTTGATGTCTTCTCAGAAACATGTTTTAAGTGGTTCTTAAGAATGCCATGAACAGGAGATACTGCTTTTTGTTGCTTTCCAACTAGATCGCAGTTTTTAACTTGTTGCTTCTTTTCCACTGATAAACCATTTAAACCCAATTTCTTTCTATGGACAGAAGGATCAACCTCGTGAACTGCAACCATTTTATTACCAATTCTACCTTTTAGTTTTCTGGAACTATTTGCTGCAGTTTGCAGCATGCGCTTGTAAGCACCATCCTGAGATTGACAAAATTAACAAAATTATGGATGTTCTATTATAATACAATCTGAATAGGCTAGGTTATGTAAAATACTCATTCAAAGAGAAAGCAATTCACTGTATCTCCAATCCCGTACTTAGGAAAATAAATAAATACAACACCTTTTGTAACTTTTATATCACTATCAGTTACTTTTGCGGAGTTTTCAGCAATAAATAAATAAAATTGCACGGAAAACCCCCAGCAAATTCAATGCATGAGACAAATTGTTAACAAACTATATGCAATATTTGTCATCAAGATACCGCACTACCAAAATTTAGGGAATGACAGATGAAGAAAATAAATAAGATTCATAATAATACACAATAGCATTGTATGGTGATGCCAAGAATAAAGTGTCACTGTAGAAAACCAGGGACAAATCTCAATATCCTTTCAACAATTCCAACCAGCATATGAGATAGCATGGAAATTGTTTATGATTGCTGCTACATTACAATTTACAATACCACTCCCAGAACCATAATATCATGTCTTGTTAATTTTATGTCCAATGATGAATGTCCTTAATAGTTTACTCACACCTGGGCTTTTCTAATGCTTGTTTCAACCCTCATCAAAAAGCATTTTATAAAAGATAAAGGCAGCAACTCGGTTCATGCCTATATCTTGTGACTACATACGATAAAATGGCAGACATTTTCAAATGGAATTGATGGTAAGTAAAAGTAGATTTAACATAGAAGATCAATATGAAAGTTCTAGTGAAATTAGATAAAAGTATTCCAGCTTTAATTATATAATAATGACCCAAAGTAAACAAACTTTTCGTCATTTGAGAGGAAAAAAGTATACTTTTTAATCATTATAATCAGGAAAAGACTCTAGTGAGATTTTAATAACAATTTAATCGGTAGTTCAAAGTGACCCGTCACTCAAAAAAATATGTCAAAACGTGCTAGTGCATATTTTCTAATATGATAAGAAATTCCTTAAAAGCTTCAAAACAAATTTCATGAACTTGGCCAATTTACCTTTTTAGTATCTATTTTCGGAAGAGGGAAGATAAAAATCTATAAATGTATGTATCATAAATCCATAGATCATATGCTAATTAACCAAAAAAAAACATTAGTAAATAAGAAAAGCAACTGAAATTTTTGTTATTTATTAATACATCCCAGAAAATGCTCGTAGTTTATAAATATAAGGTTATTTGAGCTTATATTTTATTGTATAGATATTATTTGTAAACCTTTTACAAGCCAATGGAAATTACACTTAAAATAATTATATATCAAACTAAATGTAGGTATAATTCTTATGAATACCAGAGAGAAGAATGCACGAGAGCTTCAATCAAAATCTTATTCATGGTTTCATAAAAAACAATTCTTATTTATTGATAATAAAATATATCAAAGCTTTTACTTATTCATAGAAACTACATATCGCTAGTATTGATTTTACTTAATAAATATTATTTTTGAAAAATTCTAGTTGTAATTGAAAACCTGGGACTTCAAATTATAAAGATATCAAAGATATTGTCAATAGAAACACTTGTAAGAGGAAAAAACTTATCAGTTCAGTTCATTCTAAGTTCTAACAACAAACTTTCTACCTTGGTTCCCAATTACACTTTCTGGTAAAATAAGAACCAAATTATATTGTAATGACAAAGCTGTGTATTATTGTTCAAAGAATATTCACTTTGAGGAATCATACAGGGAATCTTTTGTTCGTAAAGTCACACGAATTACTTATAAAATTAATACCCTAGTAAAAATAGTACTTCTTTAACAATATACATTCCTGTATATCATTGTACGAAGTAGAAACTAATGAAAAAAAGCTTGCTCTAGCAAATATTGTTAGGGTAAGCAACTATTACAGATTCTAAAATAATTTCACAGTGGGGTTAAAATTATTGTTTTAACATGTTTTTACAATAACTATCTTAGTTGTTTTTTACAAAAGGCAATTTCAAGAAAAAATAAATGATCTGGTAAAATGAGAAGAGCCTCTAATTATAAAAGGGAGGTTAAATAAAAAGACATCCTTAAAGGCATCTACCTTAGTTAAATTAAAAAAACTAGTGGGACGTTAAGTGATACTTTTTTCTCAGTGAATTTTACTAAAAGGGAGGGATGAACAATGGCAAATGCATGAATAATGATGCTTAAATACTTTTCTACATAAATCTCAGACTTATATGTAGTATGCTCACCGTTAAAATTCACATATAAACTTCTATAGAAATTGTACTACGTGTTTTATATGTATGATGTATCCCCACTCAAAATGCTGAGGCTTCTGTAGAATCTGAATACTGAAAAGATCACTCTATTCTAATCTTGAAAAACGTTGATAGGCAGGGAAAAACTTCTATGATTATAGAATCAGATTTCGAAATATTTTTAGAAAATAACGTATTTATTTTGAAACGCTAGTTAAAACAATCTAGACAATACTACAGATGTCATTATTGACATATTACGGACGGTCAAGTTTAAAATTTCATTTCTAGAGATACAGCTAGCGGCAAGGTCATCCTTATGTCATCATTGAGCAACCTTCATGGCTAGCCTTGTTAAATATTTGACTACTTCCACTTTCAAATTTCGGCCACCATAATAATCGCGAAAACTGATACTATTTTCGGTCTTCTCATGGTTCTATGTACGCTCCTAGGTTGGGTTTTGATCGACACTCACATTGATTTGATTGTATCTCAACATATCTGCTCGTAAATATGAACAAAACATGAGTCACTAACTTTTGTTGACTGATATATCCCAGCTATTCTCCCCACACACAGACCAACATTTTCAGAATATGATCGGAAGTCTCTCACACAACGACAGAAAGCCCAAAACCATTATACGCTACATTGACACCCCCGACTTACTAACGAACCACGATGGTTACCGCATAAAACACCTCAGAAGATATGCCCATGCGATAATGATATATATCAACCCCCAAGTCAGAGTATTTTTTCTGAAGTTACATGCCAATATGGAATTTTATAAGCAAACATTCATCGATCCAAATCACTGTATATGCACTTCTGACAGACCCAATAAATGATCTATCAAATTCTGGACCTCCACATGCAGATCTCCCACAAGCCAAAATATATCCAGCTGTAAGCTGTGTATAAACCTCTACGTTCCGAAAAACTAGCCACAAGAGATGAGAATCTGTTGATCTACCCATGGCCCATATGTTAATTCCCCCCCAAATTATTAGTTAATAGTGACGGGGCTAGAAAAACCCCTCATCATTAGACTCAGCTCTTCTTCCTCGTAACCCATGAGTGGCCCCTTCTTTCTAGCTAGGGTACTTGTACTGATCATACAAACCCAACAGCTGGAGCAACATTCTTGCAGGCTTCACTAACTTCTGAATCCCTTCCGCGCACGAAGGCACTTGTCTTAATTTTCCTCTTTTATAACTCCCCTTTCCCAACTTTTACTTGCCGCGTATTTCGCTCAAGTACTAAACGAAAAAACCCACTCACTTTCGTCCACAAATGGGAAGCTCTCTCTCTAATCAGCTTTTTCAGCAGTAATTTTATGCAGAAAAAGCAAGAGATAGAGTTAGGAAAGCTATAATCGCATGGATAAGAAACTACATCAACAAAAAATCTACAGTGTTCGGTAATATTTTATGCGCAAATTCCATGAATTGTATCCTTATCTGCCATGAATTAGCTGCAAATCGAAGAAACAAACTGCATATAACCAGACATTAACTTATATTTTATGAGACACAAACCACATACCTTCTTCCCAGTTGGCCCATTGTTGAAGACATTCTTCTTTTTCTTCTTCTTTTTCTTACTCACAATCGTCGTCTTCTCGTTGTTCAGGAATGACACACCACTATCACTATGCTTTTCCACCTTGCTTTTCTTCTTCTTCGCCTTCTTTGTCTTTTTCTTCTTCCTATTCTTGTTCGTATTCTTCTTGCTCCTGATTACCGAAACAGCAGCAGCAGCAGAAGTACTAGTTGAATCCCCACCGCCATAATCGGATTTGTTCTCATCTTCCCCAACCTCAATCACCTTGCTTTTGCCGGCTTCGATCGGCGGCGCCACCGTGAGAATCTCCGCGATCGAGCGCTTCTTCGGTGCCTTCGGTTTGTGCTTGAAACCAGTTGTCCTCCTCATCTGCCGCCGTTCTTCCCTAACGGCCTGAGCGAGGCAACCGTCGATGTGCGCATTCACCGCCGTCACGGTGGCGGCGTTGAAATCTCGGCAAACAGGACAAACCATCTCTAACTTCTCCTCCTCCGCGGGGTCTCCTTGGTCCGATTTCGCCGATTCGCCACCTCCGCGCTTGGATCTCAGCGCCTCGAGGCGGCGAGAGAGCCACTGGAACTTCGTAACGGTAATCGACACATCGTCAGCGTCCTCACGGAACGGCCAGTACTTCAACACGCTCTCGATTTGCTGCTGCGGCTGCTGCTGCTGCTGTTCCTCCTCCTCCACCTTGAAAATCTCGGCGATGGAACGCTTCTTCGGCGCCTTGGACTTGGACGACTTCAAATTAATCATCCTCATGTGGCGACGCTCCTCCCTCATGGTCTGCGCGAGGCATCCATCTATGTGCGCGTTCACCGCCGTGAGCGTGGCTGCGTGGAATTCGCGGCAAACCGGACAAACCATCTCCAATTTCTCATCCTCGTTGGCGTCGGCATCGAGAGGAGGAGCGGAGTTATCGGATTTCTCCGATTCTCCCTCGCTGAAGTCGTCGTCAGTTCCAGAATCTTGCTGAGGTGAAGGGAGATTCTCGGGATTTGGCGCGTTGTGGTTGTTGGATCTAGGGCAGCGGTTACCGGGGAGAGTCATCGGCGGAAGCCATGACTGAACTTCCTCACGCGTGACGTCACGTGAGGTTGTGGATGTGAATGGCCAACATTTGAAAACGTCGACGGACCTCATCTTCGATGTGTAGTCCCTGCAACACCGAATAAAAACCAATAACAAGAGTTCATATTAGTAAAACCAAACTTATTAATAAAACAAAAAAGATAGATAAATACCTTATGCAGAATCCATCAAACGTAGCCGCCATGATCGGTGGTTACAAAGAGAGAGACTAGGAAGAAGGAAGAGGAGAAGAGAGGAACATGGATGATGATGATTATGATTAGATGAGAGAGAGAGAGAGAGAGAGAGAGAGAGAGAGTAATTAGTAATTAACGCTTTGCGTTCTTACTAGAGAAGAAGGGGGGGAATGGGAGTGTGTGTTGTGTGTAGCTGTCTGCTTGCTTTTCCCTAATTTATGACTGAAAGGGACGTATGAGTGAGAGAGAGAGAGAGGGGGGTTCTAAAGTGACGACAGAAACAGAAGAAGAATTGAGCGAACCAGCGAAAGTGAAACAATATTTTATTTAATTAACGCTAATTAATTATTTTATTCTTCTTAATCAACTCTTTCTCTTTATTCTTTTCTTTCCATGCATGTTATTTCCATTATTTAATTTACTATATTATTGCGACTTGTGTGCTTCTGCACCCAAGCCTTGGAGATTTACTTTAATCATAAATATATAATTATGTATTGTTTTAAATGTTTAATGTTAGATTTGTTATATGATCTATTGTGTATTATGCCCACGCTCGGCTACTGCTATGAAACAAAGATTCTGCTGTAAGAGCACAAACTAACCACCATACGCGATCACCGTCTATCCACGCGCTTTCTTCCTTCATTCTATCCCTATTTCTTTCTCTCTTTTTTCCTCAAATTATTATTTCTCTTTTTAAAATTAATTTAAAACTGAAAAATAAACAAATTCTAAGAATCAGTCGTTTAGGATAAATTCATATTTTCATCACTCTTTATTTTTGCTAGTTCTTTGATTTCTTTTAACTCTGTCACTCTATCCCTTGCCACTACAGAGGTGACTTTGGTCAATATTTTTTATTTTCTTTCAAGTTTTGTTAATGTCTATTTCTTTTTTGCTAAAAAATAATATTTCGATGTCAAAATAAATTTAACTCGCTTTAACCCATTACTTTTTTATTGTTGAAATTGTATTTGACTTTTGTCAACTTGTGTAATTTGTCCTACATGACTTACAAATTGTGACAGGTTAAAGATGGATTGACCGTAAGATTAACTTTGGCTCTTAAATTTATTATTTAATTTTTACAAGTTTTTAGTCTATATTCCCATTCTTATCTCCACATTGCATGTATCCGAATCCTATACGAAGGTTTCACATATTATTACTTTATTACGATTTATAGTGACATAAGGGTTTGAATATCCTTGCAAATATTTATACTGTTTTATGTTCAAGTTTCCAGCATTTACTCCCATATATACCAAGCCTGCTACGAGCTCGATTAGGATCAAGATGATAGGAAAGAGAATGATAATAGTATTCTTAAGTAAAGTACACATTCGTTGTTCGTGTCCGAAATTCATGCAAATTCTATTCATGTTCGAATTTATGATGTAACATTTGTGATTAAAGTTGGTTTAATACACATTCTAAATTGATTATACTCAATAAATGAACGTTAAAACATATATAATTATATATTAATAGAATCTTAAAAATCAGTGGTTGAGAAAGGTTAGAATTAAATCGGTAAATAGTGAATGGTGGAAAGTTGAAGGGTTTAATAGCAGAAACCGTATGTTCTGAGTTAGCACGCCAAGTCCCCATCTGGATGCAGATACAAGGTATAACTTTACTTTGATGTCACACTCTGTCACTCTCATACCATATTATTAAGTTTGATTATCTAATCGTATCCACTTATGCAATATACATCTCGTAGTACCTAAGAAAGATGGTAAATTATATAGCTAGTTTTAAAAATAATATTTTATTATCTGTTCTTGATAAGTATGTATTAAAATTCAACAAAAAGAAAATGCACAAGTTTCAGTTTTCTACCATACTCTTGGAAAATTAAATGTGTAGAGTCGATAATCGAAACTAGTTATAAGTATAATTGATTAAAATACTTTTCTAATAAAGTGCTTGGCTAGCGCTTCTCTTGAAACTTGAAAGTTAGACTCTCGAAACGTTAATTTGGAGGAACTAAATTGCAAGTACCATGCCAATGTCCCATTTCCCAATAATTTGTAATTGGTAAATGCTATGGTTTTTTTTCAATTCAAAATTATTTTTATAAGATAATAAAATGATCGATTATTTTAACATTTTTATGTTAGTCATGAAAAGTTAGCCTATAATATTTTATAGTTAATACAAGGTTCGTAGATCATATGATGAATCCGTAACTTATAGCTATCCATGCTTGCTTTTCGGCATGTATATATTTGTCAACATAAATATCATCCAGAAATGAAAAAAATCATGCATATAGCAGTTTTCTCCGCCATTGAAGGGATTTGTTTTTATAGCATTATAATATTTAGATACTATATTAAATATTTTAATTATTTGATTGGTTAAGTTGTTTCAGTTTACATATTTAATAATTTTATGTTCAAATTTTAAAGATGTAATCTGTTAAATATTAAAAAAATTGTTACTTGTAATAATTTTATTTAATTCGAATAAAATTATCTCATTAAAAAGTTCAATAATTTATATAGGCCAAAAACTGATTAAAAAAAATATTAGCGTTAACATTTTTTTTATATTTTAAATACAGCTACCTTTTTTTAAAAAATTAAACTTTAAACAGTCTAAAATAGTCTCGTCTCATTAAAAAGTGATTTTTATGTGTTTAAAGACAACATATTTTTTTATTTAAATTCATATAATAGTATTAAATATTATAAATTTTGATAAAATATTAATACTATTTAAAATTTTTATTTATTTATTTATCTAGAGGGAAAATATTTTTATTTATCTGTTTGTGAAATGTTTTAAGATAATATTAATTATCATTTTTCTATTGATGTTCATTTTTTATATAAAAATATTTATATAATTCGAGTAGTTCAAGAGTAAAAAAATATTAAAAAAGATAAATCAGAATGCTTACTAATTTATTCTAACAGAATAATTAATTTTTAAATTTGCATATCTTTTGGATAAATAAATAAATAAGAAAAAAAGTAATAGTATTTTTAGAAAACAACCAAAAAATACGAACATCATCATTTAGTGCAATTCAAGGATGCAAGGGTTGGGGCTGCACATCGAATCATATCTCCACTACAATCTACCTTTTGCTTGACAGCATCTTACTCATCTTAAAATTAAGAATTTTGTTAATATTATTTTTTATGATTTTTTTTAATATTCAAGAGCTTAAAAGCTCAGCAACAAATAAAAACTGGAAAACTTTTATAGAAATTCAACTACCAATAACGTCAAAGCCTAAAGAATAATTTTAATTAAATAAAAAGAAGACTTCGTTAGGTTAATATAATAAATACTTTTAAAATTTTTTATCATTTAATTTTTTAAGCGATCAACCAATAAATCCAATACTAAAAGATGCTATATAATAACACATTCTCTGTCACGTTATTAAAAAATAAAATACACATAATTTCTATATTTTTTAATAAATTTTAACTAATAATAAAAATTGTATTACAAAAAATGTGCTATTATTTTATCTCTTTAATATGATAAAATAATAGCAATAGTTTTTTAAAGAGTGTTAAATGGGAACTCGGCAAGTTTTCTAATAAAGTAATAACAATAGTTTAAAAACCTAAAATTGAAATAAGTAACTGAAGAAAGAAAACGTAGGATGATGGTCACTTTTACATTAATATGATCTATAAAATACAATAATTTTCCAAATTAACCACAAATAACATTCCAAAAGCATTTTTAGTCTGAGCACAAAGTACCAACAAAAAAATTAACTGCATTAGAGCATTGAAATTTTACTTTTGCAATTAATTGGCAGAAAGGGGTAAGAAAATTCATAAATAATTAAGCAACGCACCTTCACAGAACGAAGCAAGAGTATCCACATGGCATTGGTACCTTCGAATCCAATTATTAATTTTAATAAACTATAAGAAATTAAAATGGAGTTAAATAATAAAAGTGGAAAAAGCTTTTGAAGCAAAAACCAATGTCTTTCTTTCCAACACTCTTTATGAGCAAGTTTGAAACGTGGATGGAAGAATCAGGAAGCGCGTGAAGGGGACGAGTGGCGTGGCGTGTGTGGATGGCGAGAATATGGGGCGCCCCCACTAACAGGCACATTTAGACCACACATCGTTTTGACTTTAGAGGTTTGGTTTGTTTGTTTTAAAAAACTTTAAAGTAACGTACGCTGCAAATTACCAAGTTCTCCAACACACCATCTTTATCTTTAGCATATTTGATGCTCACATCACACTCTCAATTTTAATTTCGATAGTTACAGTTTTAGTCCAAAACACATGTGTTTGATTCAATTTTAGTTTTATACTTAATGGAAGGAAATCATTTTTATCGAATAAATAAGCTTATCAAGTTTTGTAAAATTAAAAATTTCTAATACTACATTAATTTTTTTAATATATAATATATTTTTAAAATACAGTAAGTTAATTTGACTTACTGTTGAAATTTATAAACTAGAATCGAACATATTACATGATTTGTGAACCCAATCATACATAAAATTAAATGTAATCCGCTTGTATGAAACTTATATTGATATAATCATAAAATTGAATGCACATGCATTATTAGCATATAAATTTCATATATATTGTTTATTTTATAAAGTATTATTACATTATTAAACAAGATTAATAACATAAAATTATTAAATCTATTAAATAATATGATGATTAACAACCTATTTAAAAGCTCACATGCAAATTCTAAATTTAACATGATATTTTAAAAAAACCTACATATATCCAGTTTAATTTACGTGGCTATTAGCACGAACATTTAAACTATATTGACACATTATTAGATAAAATTAAAATGAATATAATTATTGTGAAGAATATGGATGGGGCGTGGCAATGTGGCATAATGATAGATGAAGTGACTCAAAATAACATAAAAGCATGCGGTCAAAGAAAACGACGAGAAAGTGGGACCCAGGCACTAATGATAATGGTACTCGTGTCGTTTAGTGTGGAGCTTATTCTCTTTATCTCTAATCTCACACTTGCATGATGCTTCCAATTCCAATTTTTTCACCCCTTAGCCTCTTATCTTGCCTTAAGCACTTCCTATCTCTCTGTTTCTCTTCTCACACTCTCCAATCCTCCTCAGCTATATAGGTATGTATGTGCCTATTATACCATCAATAAATAATATATAATTCCTCATATCTTCTGTTTAT